CAGGGTGCACTCCACAGCCATTTCTTTTTTCTTTTTTTTAAATATATTTTTATTGATTTTTTACAGAGAGGAAGAGAGAGGGAGAGTGAGTTAGAAACATCGATGACAGAGTCATCCATCAGCTGCCTCCTGCACATCTCCTACCGGGGATGTGCCCGCCACCAAGGCACATGCCCTTGACCGGAATCAAACCCGGGACCTTTCAGTCTGCAAGCCGATGCTCTAGCCTAGGGGTATCAAACTCAATCAGAGAAGGGGCCAAAATCTAAAATCCAGCCTAAATCGCGGGCCGAATGGTTTACTGAACAGTCATAAACTGTCATTGTGATGGAAACGCAGCGGAGTGCAGTGATGACAGCGCGGTGCGGGCCACATTGCAAGGCCTGGCGGGACGGATTTGGCCCGCGGGCCTTGTGTTTGACACATGTGCTCTAGCCACTGAGCCACACCGGTTTCGGCTGCTGTTTGAAATGTTAACCCTGCTCTTTGGCTTCTCGCTTAAATAATAAGGAAAACGAGATTCTTCCCACTTCGGAGAGGCCATTACACCTTCCCCAGACAAGGTTATCCGTGTTGGCGCCAGGCCAGGCCTCTGGTGGAGGTTTCAAGGCCCCCCGCACACAGGGGCCCTTTAGGAACTTGCAAAGGGGGGCTGGAAACATCCCATCTTTGGGGAGACCAAGAAGGTAAAAACCTATAAATAGGGGAAATTCCTCCATGTGGGGGCCCAGAATTTGACAGACAGTTTTCTCTGGACCTGCATGGGTAATAAATGTAACTCCAAGCTCTCCGAGCATTGCTTGGTTTATTCCGGTTCTCTGTAACACACCTACCGTGTTTCCCCGAAAATAAGACATCCTCCGAAAATAAGACCTACTTACAGGTTTCCTTCTGAGTGAAATATAAGGCATCCCCCCAAAAATAAGGCGCCCCTCCCCCCAGGCTAAACATGAGAGATTTGGTCCACTGATTCTGAAAGAAATGGAGTCACAAGAAATTCACCAGGAAATTCAGGAATTGGATTGTTAGGATGATGTTCCGGAAGATGATGACATGATTGTCATGGAATAAATGAGTAAGTTCTTGATGCTGTAGGATTCACAGTTTGTCTGGTTTGTGTTGACAACGACCGTACTACCGTACCGTATACAGGTAATACATTTCCTTTATTTTCATTTAACAATAAACATGTACCGTATTCTTCTTCATGGAAAAATAGGACATCCCCTGAAAATAAGACCTAGCGCATCTTTGGGAGCAGAAATTAATAAAAGACACTGTCTTATTTTCGGGGAAACAGGGTAGAAGAAAGGCCAAGATGGACACGTTTCTCAGCCCGCAACGGGAGGTCAGACACCCCAGGGGGCCATGATTACAGAAGAACATTTTCCTACAGACTTCAGGTGGGAGGCAGACTCCCGGAATGTCTCATGCTGGCCGTCAGCAAACATGGACAGAGTGGGCCTGGCTGGGACCAGAGTCAGCGGCTGCCCTCCAGGCCCTGCAGCCCCGCAGACAGACCATAAAGGGGAGCCCAGGGGAGCGGGCTGGAGCTCCAGGGACCAGACACACCGGCTGGCCACCAGTCAAACTCCAGAGACACCGGACACCGCGTCTTTGTCCCGAAGACAACAGCTTCGCATGTTTCACACCGTGTCCCTTTCGCCCGGCTGGGGGGCTGGCTACAGTGAGAAGGGAACGGAGCAAAGGAGAGAAAGTGGGTGAGCGTCCAGTGACGTGTGGGGAGAGGGAGAATGGAGAGAGAAGCTGGGGAGGGGGTGGGGAGGAACTGGGGGACAATGGCTCCTGGGCCTGATGGGGAAGGAGGCCGGACAGGCACCCAATCAGCCCCGATTTCCCCGGGGGCCGGCTAATCTCTGCATCTGCCCTCCCACAGCCACCCAGCGCTGGGAACTCGGTCCGTGTCCCTGTCTCCCTTCCCGATTGCGACGGGTGGCCTGGTTCCTGCAACCCCAGGCGGCCAGCCCTTGACTCGTGGCCTCTGCAGAGAAAGAGGCCCTCACCGGTGTGGCTCAGTGGGTAGAGCATCGGCCTGCAGACTGAAGGGTCCCAGGTTCGATTCTGGTCAACGGCATGGACCTTGGTTGCAGGCACATCCCCAGGAAGGGTTGTGCAGGAGGGAGCCAACTGATGTTTCTCTCTCATCGATGTTTCTAACTCTCTATTCCTCTCTGTAAAAAATCAATAAAATATATTTATTTAAAAAAAAAGAAGAAGAAAAAAAGAGTGCCCAGTCAGCCAAGGCTGGCATGGCTCAGTGGTTGAACATCCTCCTATGAACCAGGAGGTCACGGTTCCATTCCAGGTCAGGGCACGTGCCCGTGTTGCATGCTTAATGCCCAGTAGGGGGCGTGCTGGAGGCAACCGATCCATGATTCTCATCATTTGATGTTTCTCTCCCTCTCCCTCTTCCTTCCTCTTTGAAATCAATAAAAAATCCTTTTTTTTTTAAGAGTCCACAGTCACCACTTCTCAGCAACCCAAGAGCTCCCACCTCAGAGCCCACCGCTGCACAGAGATGTCATCTGAGTTATTAATTAAAGTGATTAATTAAAGTGATTTATTAATTAAAATGAACACCATTCATCCCAGCGCTCCAGGGCCTGGTTTAAAAAGAAACAAACAAACAAAAAAAAACAAACAAACAAACAAACAAAAAACAGAGCGTTTCAAAAATGATAAAAATAGCATTTCTCAGTCTAGAAATAGCTGAACTTTGTTTCTGGTGCTTTGGTCCCCGCATCCATCCCCACATCCCCGCCTCCCTGCCTGCCTCCACCCCCACCACCTGGATGCCACCTTGCCCACCGTGCCCACCTGCTGCCCTTGGTGAGTAACAGAACTCCGGCCGGCGAGGGCTAATTGGGTTAATGGAGTGACTACCCAATTGTTCTCTCTCCAGGGCCCAGCCCAGCTCCCTGGCTTCCATCCGACTACCTGCCTCGCATCTGTTCCAGGATCACTCCTTTGCAACAACGGAGTCCATTGTGGCCCGCCTGTGGGACTCTGGGGTTTGAGGCGAACTCTCCCTCCCGAAGGCAGGGAACAGAGGATGCTGCTATTTTGGTTTGTCTCGCCCACAATGGGGCCATTCTCCGGGGCCGATGGGCATGTGGGAAATCCGAGATGGCCTGGCCAGGGGAGGAGGCAGGGGAGCAGGTGGGGATAACATCCCGACCTCCTCCTTCCCAGTTGCCTTGGGTTTACATTTCATTGTAATCGGTTCCAGATGGAACGGGCCAGCCGGGAGGAGCCTCTGGAATCTCAGGGCCCTCACCTTTGGCCTTTGGCCCAAACACCGAGGCCCCGGGGTTGGGCAGTGCGTGACCTGGCCTGGCCCAGCTCCCACTCCCTCCTCGGACCCCCACCCCCCCTCAACCCCCCCGGGGGAGGCAGCATTGAGGGCGGCCTTTGCCACCCCAGAGCTCAGGGGGAGCTTGCTCTCCCTCAAAAAAAAAAGCAGGGCATCTTTCTTCTGGTTGTTTTCTGAGGTGCATTCGCTTTGTTCCACCTGGAAGGGCTCCTTGCTCCTCTCTCCGCCTTTGCCTCTTCCTCCCTGTCCCGCCCCACCCCCAGCCTCGAGGGAGTCCTTATCCTTGCTGTCCTAGGGCAACTCCGGGGCCCACCGTCTCAGGATCTGGGGAGCCTGGGGGGAGGGGGGAGTGCCTGTCCCTGCCTCTGGCTTGTTTGCAAACTTGCCTCACCCCCTCCTGCACGCCCCTCTGCTCCGGTGAGCATGCCAGCACCTCTGCTTGCACTGCAGCCCCCATGATGATGAGACCGACACGGACGGAGGTGCTCTGTGGATTCAAGTTCCCGCCCATCAAACCAGAACCCGGGCCGAAACCCGTGTGGCTCAGTGGACAGAGCGTCGATCTGCGGACTGAAAGGTCCCGGGTTTGATTCCGGTCAAGGGCATGTGCCTTGGTTGTGGGTACATCCCCAGTAGGAGGTGTGCAGGAGGCAGCTGGTCGATGTTTCTCTCTCATCGATGTTTCTAACTCTCTGTCCCTCTCCCTTCCTCTCTGTAAAAAACAAAAACCAAGAGCCCAGGCTCTGACCCGCAAGGAAGGGAAGGGATGGAGCAAAAGGAACCCAAACCCAGCGCCACCCACCAGCTGAGCGAGGGGCGTGGGCCCCATGGGGACACGTCCTTCAGGGAGACCAGCGTCTCCATGCGACTGTCTGCACACCACTGCCCTCCGCTGGACGCCAGGCCAAAGCCGCCCAGGCCCACTCTGGGTCACAATGCTTCCCGCCCCGTCCGGGCACGGCTTACTGGGCAGACCGGTTTGTGGGCTGGCTCCCCTTCCCAGATCTGTGCCCTCCCCTCAGCCCTCACCCCCAAACCCCCGCCCCTGGCTGCCAGCACTGCAAACGGCACACGGTGGGTGCAGGCAAGCGCTCCTGGCATGATGAGGACGATGAATGCAAGAATCCACTGAAGCCGAAACCGGTGTGGCTCAGTGGATAGAGCATCAGCCTGCGGACTGAAGGATCCCAGGTTCGATTCCGGTCAAGGGCATGGACCTTGGTTGTGGGCACATCCCCAGTAGGGGTGTGCAGGAGGCAGCTGATGGATGATTCTCTCTCATCGATGTTTCTGACTCTCTATCCCTCTCCCTTCCTCTCTGTAAAAAAAAAATCAATAGAGTATATATTTTTAAAAATAAAAATAAAGAGCTTTCGGTTGCTCTCTTATGTTTCTGTCTCTCCTCTCCTTACTAGACTGGGTGTTGTATTAATAGAAGGAACCTGGGCCTTTTACCATTCCCTATAGGGCGGCGGGGCGGATGCTCCTCCACGCCTGCAGGGGGCGCTGTGGGAGCAGCCAGCTGCCTCTCTGCTCTCGGCTTCTCTGGGCCGCTCCCAGGAAAAATCACACGCTCTGGGCCACGCCCCCTTTGCAACAACACTACTTCTCATTGGTCAGGGGCCGTCCCGGCCGTCCAATGAGACGAGGCGTTGGTGCGAGGTGACGCCACCATCTTGGATCGGCTGGGCCCCGGTGTCGGGTGGGGGCGGCGGGAGGAGGAAGGAAGGTGGGCCGGGTCGAGCTGCTCCGGTCCGGTCCCGGCCCCGGCCTCGCCTCCCTCTCCGGCTCCGCCGCGGGCCCACGATGCCGCAGTTCCAGACCTGGGAGGAGTTCAGCCGCGCGGCCGAGAAGCTCTACCTCGCCGACCCTATGAAGGTACGTGGCCGGCGGGCCGGCGCCTGGGTGCCCAGCCCCGTGGGGGTCAGGGGTCCCCCCGGAGGCCGCTCTGCTCTTGGGGTTCCGGAAGGGGGGGGTCTGGGGCCGAGAGAGACGGACCCCGCAGACCCCCCTGTGCCTTCGGCCTCCGCTCTGATGATCGGCCCCGGGAACGCCTTGACATGAGCAGAAATCGGGGTCCTTTCAGGGTCCCAAGCCGCTCTGCCCCGGCCTTTCTCCGTCCCCCCCTCAATCCCCCAAGACTTCCGTGGGTTTACGTGTCCCTGAGGGCCCGGCTCCTCCCCCGCAGCTTCACTTCCTGTCCCTGGATCTGCTGCCCGTTTCCCCCTAAGCCAGATTCCTCGTGCAAAATGAAAGGGTTTTAGATGTGTGTTTTTTCTGGCTCCGCCGAAACATGCTTGCAAACCCCCGATCTGGAGGCAGCGACACCCCTGAGAATAGCGCTGCTTACCCAGTTGGAGGAGGTGAGGGTGCTGGTACCCTTTGCTCAGCACAGTGCCCTTAAACGTCCAGGTTTGCAGACCATTTGGGGGGGGGGGGGGGGCTTGTGAATTCATTCAATTCCCACCCCCAACAGAAGTTAGGTCCTTATTTCTTAAAGCTAAGGTGTATTTCACGGTCACGTCTAACATTTCGCCTGGAACACCTGCTTGTTAACTAAAAAAGTCCTGCAAGCTCTCTAAACCTTGATAAGAAAACAAGAAACTACAGGCGATGTTAATTAATAGTTCCAATCTTCGCCATAAAATGGTAAGGAACGATGAGAGGAATTAGATTTTTTTTTTTTTTTTTTTTTTTTTGTTCTAATTCATTTGCTCATTTAAATGAGTCCTTGGCGGATGGCGCGGGGCCTGGCTTTTCTCTCTGGGTGATTCCTCACTCACCCCACGTCCCCGGAAGACTGGACAGGACGTTTGTCCAAACAGAATATTTTCACAGAGAATGTATCAGACCAGCTCCCGTCCAGAGTCACCCTGTTTAAATGTGACGGGGTCCGCTGTGCAGGGAGCTTGTCTAGAATAAGCAGAGGGGAGAGGACGCAGCTCAGAAAATGACAGTGGCCTGAAAACATCCTGCATTTTCATGACAGCCTTCTGCTGTGTTTTGTTTTGTTTAATATATTTTACTGATTTTTTTACAGAAAGGAAGGAAAAGGGATAGAGAGAGTTAGAAACATCGATGAGAAAGAAACATTGATCAGCTGCCTCCTGCATACCTACTGAGGATGTGCCCACCACCAAGGTACATGCCCTTGACCAGAATCGAACTGGGAAACGCCACCCCCAACCCCCAGTCCACTATCCACTGAGCCAAACCAGCCAGGGCCAGTATATGTTTTTATTGGCTGGAAATGCCAAACCACCTTAAGTCTTTTTACAAAATCAATGGTAGCACTAGGAGTGAACTTGTAAATATAATGCTGTATATCTACCTCATCTCAATAAGTTTATAGTAAAAGTGACTTTGAACATTCTGGCTATTAATTCTGAAGGATCATTTTGGCCAGCCTGAAGACTAAATTATTTATGAGAAAGTTCTGGCTTCACTGTTTCTAAATAGGTATTTTTTTTGTTTCAGGCACGTGTGGTTCTCAAATATAGGCATTCTGACGGGAGCTTGTGTATGAAAGTAACAGATGATTTAGTTGTAAGTATACATTTCTTATTTGTTGCATGCTTTCGGATTTGAGTTAATTGTTTAAAATTACTTATATAGGATTTATGCAGATTGCCCGTTAGGACTTATATTTTGCATTTCATTCCAAAGTCAAGAACCACATTCTAGATTAGAAGCTACTTTCACAGGCTCTTGAGAGGAATTAATTCAGCTTCATTAAGATAGCATGTGTGTGTAGTGTAGTAATTGCTCTCTTTGGACCTTAATCGAGAGGAATAGAGGCCAGGGCTGGCTATGAGGGGACAAAGGTTTTCTTACGGGCACTGAGAAGTAAATGAAGGTACTTGAACACAACATACAGGTTTTCAGTTCCATCCTTCTCCTTCGCTGTCTGCTCACTGTCACTTCCTCCATCCCCTTCACTTGGTGCCTCTGCCACGTGCTCTCTGCAGCCAGTGCTCCCTCCACTCTCTGCAGCTAGTGCTCCCTCGGCGCTGCGGCTGCTCTTGGGAGAGCCCACACCGACCTCCTGGCTGCCTTTGATACAGAAAACCACTCTCCTGGAAATCGTTATCTTGGCGGCTGTGTCTCCATTTTATCTTGTTTACTTTTTCTTTAAAAGTAAATGTTTTTCCTTGTTCTTTCTATGTTTCTGTTTCATTCTTCGCTAATTGCTTCACTGACGCGCCCCGGGCAATGTGGGTTCCTCCAGACTCTCGGGGTTGTCTTAGGAAACCACTTGTGGAGCAATCTGTCCGGCCATTCCATGCCGTGCTGCCTGCAGCTGTCTCTTTCCATTTAACGCCTGTTGTTTTCTGACTTCTGACTAGTTCTGAGCTGAGCGCCCTAACCTCAGTGCTCCTCAGCCAGCCTGGCTCGGATGGAGCGTCACTTCTCACACGGCTCCTCTGCTTCCTACTTCCAGTCACACTTCGTGCTTGAGGATCATGGTCCCTTCCTGTCCGTCATTCTCATGTCCACTGTCTCTTCAGCTGAAGAACCGTGAGCCTCGGGGGCATTCTGTACACTTGTCTGGGCATTTGGGGATTCCAGCCCTGCATTTACTTCCTGCCGTGAGCTCTCTGTCTTCCCTGTTAGTCTCTGAAGCTTAGAGACTGTCATCATCACTTGATTATTAGAATAGTCTCCTGGCTCCCCTGCTTCCAGTTCCCCCTTCAGTCGCCCTAGGTGCTGCTGGAGTGGTTTCAAAAATGCGAATTTGATTGTTGTAACCCCCTTAAACCTTCAGTGGCTCCTCATCCATCACTCAGCGTACGTCCGCCCTCACACCCCTAAGCCCTGTCTTTCCTGTGTTCATTAAAAACTCAGCATGAGTTCTTCTCATCAGACCACAGCAGAATTTAACATGTAGCCTAACGGGTCATGTCAGAGAAGCTTCTAGTAGAGTCCAGCCGGGTGTTTACCCACAGCGGTGACAGATTTAAGGAATGCGATTGCTGGAGGCTTGGGAACGTGGATGTGATTTTACATTGTTGATCATCTGCTTCTGCGTGATGTGTACTTTTACCATTTCTGACAGTGTCTGGTGTATAGAACGGACCAAGCTCAAGATGTAAAGAAGATTGAGAAATTCCACAGTCAACTGATGCGACTCATGGTCGCCAAGGAGTCCCGCAGTGTTGCCATGGAAACGGACTGACTGTTTTGCGATGAAGACTGTTTGCCATGTTCTTGGGAAATAAATATCTTTTGAATCTGAGGCAGAGCTGGGACAGAAGATCCTTACTGTAACGAAGCGGGCTATTCAGAAGCCGAGACCTTTTTTTTTTTTTTTTTTACTTTGCTAGGAATGCAAATGTTTTCCGCGAGAAAGCCTTTATTTATTTTTGGAAATGGAACGAGAAATGTGTCTATCTAGGAAACGTTCTGTAGATTATTTGCTGCTGGGGAAAATATGTAATTATTTCTTTCAGTAAGTTTGTAGCAATAATTTGAAAATGAGATACCAGGAAAAGCCTATTCTTAAGTTAAGTTGATTTGTTTTTAGAAAAATTAAACGTAACCATTTTGCTGGGTTGATCATTTCTTTGGGGGCGTAACATTTGTGCAGTTGATGGCCAACAAATACAAAATATGGTAACTAGAATTAACTACACAGCAGTATACTGATTATGTACAGTATAGTTTAGTCTCAGTTGTATCTACAAGTAATTATGAAAACAAGTATGCTTTATCTTGAACTTTCCAAATTTAAACTATTTTTGAATATAAGGCATTGTTAGTATTAGAAGCTTGTAAAGCAAACTTTGAGTCTAGTTTTCAGCGCTTACGGTACAACATGAACAGAATGGCCACTGATGGACTGAAGCCACCACATTACAAGGTATCTGTCACATCTTTCCCACTGGAGCTTCCCAGAAGGGTTAAGGATTATGCGAACTGTTAACTCTTTGCGTACCTCTTCCATACCCCTGCTCATTCCTCTCATGACTTAACCAACCGTTATGCTTCCATTAAGCCAGAAGAATATTATTGGATATTTATCTTCTATCTGTACCCTGAATTTCACCAACTAATGTAATGTCATATATTGATTCCTACATTAAAATATTTTTTGTTAAGAATTTGTGGTGTTGAGCATTTTAATATGGAAAGTTCTATGAGCCATATGAATTTTGACATGTTTCAAAGAGGTCAGTGAATAAAATATGTGACTACATATTGCTTCTCTTGAAATTTATAACTTCACAAGAATTACTCATTTCTTGCCTAGCATATACTGTATTCATTTAGTCTAAATTGAGCAGAATGATACTCTAAGTAAATTTTGTTTTGTTCTTGGTACTCTACATTTCTCTGTGACCATTAAAAGCTCAAGACCTGAGTTTCCATGGCAAGGTTCTTTTCTCAATTAAGAAAAGTAATCTAATAGTTAGGGTTTTTTGCATTTGTGGCGTTTCCCCCTCCCCCCATAATTAATGGGGTCAGGAGGGGTTTTTTTTGCCTTTTTCCTTCTCATTTACACCTCCCACTTGTTAACACTCCTTTACAAAGACAACAGGAAGGGAGGGGCCGGCATTTGGGTCCTTTGCATCTTTAGGAGCTGACAGCAGAGTCCTAAAGAGCAGAGATCCCACGGCAAACTGCCAGGCTGCAGTTCTGTCTCCACTGCTTTCTTCTGGGGTCCTAAGGCCCTTCTGGAAGCTTCCATCTTCTGTGAATTGGGTTAGCAATACTCACAGGACTTGCTGAGGATGAAATGGCGTAATCCTATAACAGTGCCTGGAACATAGTAAGCTCAATAAACGGGAGCCATTATTGTAAGTAGCCAACTCTTGCACTTTCCCGTCATCATAATTGAACGACTATTTATTGGTAATATCTGCCAAGCTATGTCTGTTATTAAATGCTCTATTTTTGCATTTGGGAAATACACAATTGCCCTCATAGAGTGTTCTTGGGGAGTGGGGAGTGTGGAAAACGTGTGTTTATTTGTGGCTGCACAAAATGAAGTGATTGAGAACTGGTTGGTGGTAAGTGGTAAGTATACTTGATTATAAGAATGGTGAGAAGACATATGAAACAATGCTGTGTCATATTCTTACAAAATATTCTCTCTGCAGGATATTTTGTAAGTCGTTTAGTATTGCCACCCCCTTTAACGTCAATTGGATTTATAATCTGTTTATCCTGAAATATAATAGGTCATCTATAAAGCCTAAGTGACTGGCCAACCAGCCGACAGGCCAGTAGCTATGACATGCACTGACCACCAGGGGACAGACGCTCAAGGCAGAAGCACAAACTACAGGCATGGAAGCATGGAACAGACTAATGAATCTCAAGGGGAAGGGAAAGGAGAGATGAACCAAAGATCTTATATGCAGGTGGGATCCCTCTGCCTGGCTTGTGGGAATCTGGCTGAAACCAGCTCTCCGACATCCCTTGAGGAGTCCTAGATTGCCAGAGAGTGCAGGCCAGGCTGAGGGACCCCACTGGTGCAAGAATCTGTGCACCAGGCTGCTAGTACTTTTATAATGAGTAACGTGTGATATGCCCTTCTGACAAGTTCACTATAATAAAATACATATAGGGCCTAGTGCAATCACTGGTCTTTCCATTGGCAATTTATTGGTAAGAATCTAAAGAGCAGGAAGTGCCTGGGAGGAGGCCCTGGTGAAAAAGAATGAAGGAAAAGCTTGAGGTGGGAGCTGATAGAGAAATACAGATCTAGATACAGAGTTATAAAGCAAATGCATCTTTGCTTCATTTAACATTTATACCATTTCAGACATGTCCCATTACCGAAATACTTCAATGTGTATTTTTAAGATCACAGATATTCATTTAGAAAAATTCAAAACCAAGATAGTAACCATTAACATGACACTATTATTTAACCTACAGATCTTCAAGTATCCCCAGTAATCCCAAAAAACATGCTTTTTAAAAAATATACTTTTTTTACTGATTTTTTTACAGAGAGGGATAGAGAGTTAGAAACAATGATGAGAGAGAAACATCCATCAGCTGCCTCCTGCACACCCCCTAATGGGGATGTGCCTGCAATCAAGGTCCATGCCCTTGACCAGAATCGAACCTGGGACCCTTGAATCCACAGGCCGATGCTCTATCCACTGAGCCACACCAGTTAGGGTCCCAAAACATTCTTTATAGAAACCATTTCTGGTCCGGGGTTGGTCCAAAATAGAGCGTTACAGTTCCTTTTCATGCCCCATGCCTGGTTTTTCCTGCCATTCACATTTTGACCTTGACATTGTGCAGCGTAGAGGCCCGTTACTTTGTAGACTTTGGGAGTCTGTTTCCTCAGGATTGATTCCTATCTCACAGTTTGGGCGCAGAGAATGCTGTTTTCTTCCCAGTGAATCAGGAGTCGGCCTCGTTTTTACACAAAGGTTTCTCTCCCCACATTATTTTTCCTTCTGCCCCATGTGCCTGGAAACTGGCCAGAAGCTTGTGCAGAGGAACAGCCTTTGTTCTGATTTTTAAAAATAATTTATTCCAGCCAGGACTGGTTTGGCTCAGTGGATAGCGCGTCAGCCTGCGGACTCAGGGGTCCCGGGTTCGATTCCGGTCACAGGCATGTACCTTGGTTGTGGGCACATCCCCAGTAGGGGGTGTGCAGGAGGCAGCTGATGGATGTCTCTCTCTCATCCATGTTTCTATCCCTCTCCCTTCCTCTCTGTAAAAAATCAATAAAATGTATCTTTAAAAATAAAATAAAAATAATTTATTCCAAAGAGCATATTATACGCATTCTTCTGTTCCAAACCAATGGCTTCTGACCCAAAGCGGTAGCATTGTGTCTACATCCTGCCCTGCTGAGTTGGACTCTTACTTAGGGACCGCGTATATGTAGATTGGTGTAGATTGTACATCCAAATATCTTAGTGTCTTGGATTTCATATCCTAAGGAGTTGAGGTTCCAATCTCACCGCAGTTACTTTACAGAACATTTTTATTGGGGTATAATTCACTTACTATAAAATTCCCCCCCCCCCCGCCCTAACCGGTTTGGCTCAGTGGGTAGAGTGTCTGCCTGCGGATGGGGGGTCCCGGGTTCGATTCCGGTCACAGGCATGTACCTTGGTTGTGGGCACATCCCCGGTAGGGGGTGTGCAGGAGGCAGCTGATCCATGATTCTCATCCATATTTCTAACTCTCTGTTCCTCTCTGTAAAAAATCAATAAAATATATATTTTTTAAATAATAAAAAAATAAAAATAAAATTCCCCCCCAATAAAGGGTACAGTTCAATCGTTGTTTTCCTAAACTCAGAGCGTGGTGATGCAACCTTGACCAGGATCCAAGTTCAAATGGAAGTCCCCGCATCCAGCTGCTGGCAGAGCCCCCCGACGGGTCCCCCCACAGCAGCCCCGCTCCGGGGCCCTGGGGAACCCTCAGGCGGCCCCCAGGTCCCCGAGGGGGGCGGGACCGGACCCGGATGTCCCGCTGCCCTGGGCTCCGCGGGGAACGCCCCTTGGGGGGTGGGGGGAGGACTGGGCGGGATCAGTGCCTGCGCCCCGAGATCAGACCCGGCAGCCAGAGGCACCCTGAGCGGTCCCCGCAGGAGCCTGCAGCCGGGAACCCAAGACCGTAAGCGCCCGGGGCGGGACGAGGGGTGCGCGGCGCGGGGGGGCCCAGGGCGCTCCGGCGGGGCGATCACACGGGGTTTGGGGGGGTCACGGGGGTGGAGCCTCGGGCTGGGGACTCTGTAGGGGCCGCTCGGTCCAGCCAGGGCCGTGCAAGTTGCAGACAGACCTCCAGCCGGGCTCATGCAACTTGCAGACAGACCTGGGCTCCTGTTGGAGTCCCGCTCCGCCTCCCCTCCCACGCGCCGCCCGGCTGTGCGGGAGACGGTGGCCCCACGGGTGCGTGTCCCCCCGGCCTGCCCCCGCCTGCCTCCCCTCCTGCAGCCGCCCTGTGCTCTCCGGCCCTCTCTGCCCGGGCCTTTCCCGCTCCCCCACTCTGCTCTCCCCCGCCCTGCCTGCGTGCAGAGAGGGAACTTGGCCTTGGGCTGTGGGAGCAGAAGCCCAGGAATGCGATCAGGCCGGGGAGGGCCACCGCCCACGTCCCGCCCGGGCAGCGCGCCCTGGCCCAGGCGCTGGGGGGCCGGGGGCCCTTCTGCAGCCTTGGGGGCGGGAGGTGGGGGGCTGGCAGTGCTGTCATCCTCATTTTGACTCTCCCCTTTATTTTTTTTTATTTTTTTTAATATTTTATTTCAGACAATGTATTCTTTTTTTTTTTAAACCTCAAGTAAGGATTTTTTTTTTAATATATTTTATTGATTTTGTACAGAGAGGAAGGGAGAGAGATAGAGAGTTAGAAACATCGATGAGAGAGAGTCATCGATCAGCTGCCTCTTGCACACCCCCTACTGGGGATGTGCCCGCAACCAAGGTACATGCCCTTGACCGGAATCGAACCCGGGTCCCCTCAGTCCCCAAGCCGACGCTCTATCCATTGAGCTAAACCGGTCCCTGACTCTCCCCTTTATTGATTTCAGAGAGGAAGGGAGAGGGAGAGAGAGAGAGAAACAAAGAGGAGAGAGAATCCTGGATCAGCTACCTCCTGCAGACCCCCTACTGAGGCTCAAGCTGCAACCTGGCCATGTGCCCTTGACCGGAATCAAACCCGGGCCCCTTCCGTCCGTCCGCACGCTGATGCTCTGTCCACTGAGCCACACCAGCCAGGGCGGCAAGAGAGCTTTTAGAGAAAGAGCATCCACCACTGGGGGATCCAGCCCGCAACCTGGCCGTGTGCCCTGGACCGGAATCGAACCCGGGCCCCTTCCGTCCGCACGCTGATGCTCTACCCACTGAGCCACACCAGCCAGGGCGGCAGAGAGACATTCAGAGAAAGAGCATCCACCACCGGAGGAAGGGCAGTGCCTCCCAAACCTCCCCCCGCGGTGGCATCCTGGTTCGCGTGCGGAACCAAGGCCCAGGCCCCTCCCCTCCACACCCAGCCCAGCGAGCCCGGGCTCAGGGCTGTTCCCAGCCCCTGCCTCCTCCCCGCCCAGCGTCCCGGCCGGCCCGGACACGCGGAGGCGGGAGCTCCCCAGGCCCGTGTCCTCCGTCCTCAGAGACATGGGGCACAGCCGGGCCTCCAGAGCATGGAAGGGCCCAGTGCGGGCTGCCCCTCTGCCGGAGCCGCACCCCGAGCACCCCCACCCGGGGAGCACCCCCACCCGGGGAGCACACCCACGCGGGGAGCACCCCCACGCGGGGAGCACCCCCACCCGGGGAGCACCCCCACGCGGGGAGCACCCCCACGCGGGAAGCACACCCACCTGGGGAGCACCCCCACGCGGGGAGCACACCCAACCGGGGAGCACCCCCACGTGGGGAGCACCCCCACGCGGGGAGCACCCCCACGCAGGGAGCACACCCACGCGGGGAGCACCCCCACCCGGGGAGCACACCCACCCGGGGAGCACCCCCACGCGGGGAGCACCCCCACGCGGGGAGCACCCCCACGCGGGGAGCACACCCACCCGGGGAGCACACCCACCCGGGGCCGGCGGGGCCCAGAGCAGGCCCGTGGCGGGCGACCTGCCGACCCTCGGATCTCACACTCCAAACCCACCTCCCATAGGCCCCCCTCCCACCGTCAGGGATTCTGTCCTCTGAGCTCCGATGCTGGCACGGAAGATCGCTCGCTGCAGCTCATTGTGTGACCGCTCCGCGATTAAGGAGTCTAACGAGCCGAAACCGGTGTGGCTCAGTGGCTAGAGCGTCGGCCTGCGGACTGAAGGGTCCCGGGTTCGATTCCGGTCAAGGGCATGTGCCTTGGTGGCGGGCACATCCCCAGTGGGGGGTGTGTAGGAGGCAGCTGGTCGATGATTTTCTCTCTCATCGATGTTTCTAGCTCTCTATCCCTCTCCGTTCCTCTCTGTAAAAAAATCAATAAAATATATTTTTAAAAAAGAAGTCTAACAGGCTCTTCAGAAAAGGAATCATGTGGGTGGGCAGGGGGCAGGTTTGTTTGTTTTTTAACTATATATATATATATATATATATATATATATATATATATTTTTTTTTTTTTTTTTTTTTTTTTTTTTTACATAATATAGTATGTAACGCATGCATATAGAGAGTTAGAAATATCGGTGAGAGAGGATCATCCATCAGCTGCCTCTTGCACACCCCCCACTGGAGATGTGCCCGCAACCAAGGTCCATGCCCTTGACCGGAATCGAACCCGGGACCTTTTAGTCCGCAGGCTGACGCTCTATCCACTGAGCCACACTGGTTTTGGCCAGGGGGCAGTTGTGATGCCAGGTCCACTGAGGGCGGCTCCAGGAGAGGCAAAGTCTGGCCCCAGGAGGCAGGGGGCAAATCCCAGACTGCAAGGGCCCTGGCTGAGGCCGCAGAGTCCCTTGCCCAGCCCGGCTGGCCTGCTGGGGTCACTGTGGGCGGGCCGCCTGCCTGTGCTCTTGGCCTAGGCCCGCGGTCGGCAAACAGCGGCTCTCGAGCCACAGGCGGCTCTTTGGCCCCTGGAGGAGCCCACAAAATGCCACGGCCTGGGCGAGTCTATGTTGAAGAAGTGGCATTAGAAATGGACGTTTAAACAGTGTGGCTCTCCAAAGACATGTCCATCGTCGTGCTGTTGATATCTGGCTCTGTTGGCTAATGAGTTTGCCGACCACTGGGAGCAGAGGCTGTGCGGGGAAGGTGGGGAGCAGGGAGCAGGCACCCAGAAGTCCCCTCCCCCCGCAGAGGGAGCCAAAGCTTTGCCAGCCACATGGCCACCCCTGAGGAGGGAGGAGCGGCGGGTGCTCGGAACAGCTCCCTCTCCAGGGAGAGAAGGGAGCATTACCCTTGAACCCCACGGCTGGACCTGGGCGGGTCCGCGTACACGTGGATTGTCCTCGATAAACATACTGGAAGATTTTTTTTAATTTTTATTTTTGGAGACGTGCAACCATTTGAAAAGATTCCCGGGCGAACCTTTTATTTTTTGGACGATGTCTTGGAGTTTTCAAGGTGTTTGAAAAAAGACACTCGCAGATGGAACCCTTTATCTTCTCAATCGCATGTTCTTCCCCTTAGCTTGCGTTAGTATGTAATGCCTGTGTAACACAGGGCATATAATGCCTCTATAACGCAGAACCTGTGTTCACCGACGGTTGATGTGACCGAGAAGGCTTCAGGTCAACATTAGTAGTTAAGGTCTGGGGGAATCCAAAGTTATATGTGGATGGTTTTTTTTTTTCTTCTTTTTTTATTGATTTTTTTTTTACAGAGAGAAAGGGAGAGGGACAGAGAGTTAGAAATATCGATGAGAGAGAGACATCGATCAGCTGCCTCCTGCACACCCCCCACTGGGGATGTGCCCGCCACCAAGGCACATGCCCTTGACCGGAATCGAACCCGGGACCTCTCAGTCCGCCGACGCCCTATCCATTGAGCCACACGGGTTTGGGCTATATGTAGATTTTCGGCGGTGTGGGGCGTCGGAGCCCCTATCCCCCCTCCCCCACATTGTCCCAGGGTGAGCTGGGTAACTCCACACACACAGTTGTGCAAACCAAGTTCAAAGGGTAGGCAGCAGCCTCTTCTCCCTCCCAGGTCTGTTTACGTTCCCGGGGTCAGAGTTCATCCTCCCTCTCCCCAACAGGGCTGCTCTCCCTCTGGAGCAGGGGCCGGGCAGGCCCGGGAAATCCTGGGGTCCGGCCCTGCCGGGGCGCCCGGGGTGAGTTCGGGAAATGTTTAACCAGACGCAGCAGGCTCAGGGCCACGTGGATGGCTCTGTGTGGCCCGGGAGTGATGTCGTAAACACCCAGATGGCCCTGGGCAGGGAGAAGGTTCCGTCCGGATGGATGGACGGACGGACGGCTGGGACCTGGGGTCCGGACTCTCCGTCTTTGGCTTCAGTTGCCCGGCGGGGGAGGGTGGGGGGGCCCTGTTCTCCTGAGGAGCCCGCTCCGTGCCCGTGCGGCTCCCCCAGGCCCGAGGGGACGTGCTTGCATAAATCAGGAAAATGCTCTTCTCCTTGGGGAGTTCAGAAACTTTCCAGAAGGTTCCCTGGCCAGCCCACAGAGGGCCCCAGGCCTCGTCCGGGCCGGGAACAGACGTGCGTGCTGCCGTTAGCTCTGGGGAAGATGGACACACAGACTCCCTGGACTCAGACGTCTTCCTGGCGCCTGCCTGCTTGGCGTCTCTGAGCTTCGCTTTTAAATCTCTTAAAACCAGAAAAAAACACCCCTTGCTTCTCAGGGTCACTGTCGTACAGGGGATGGAGATGTGTTTACTGTCTCGTGGGCTTCTCTGGGCTTCCTCACCGAGACATGGGGCCCAGACACATGTGCTCAGTGGACAGAACGTCGGCCTGTGGACTGAAGGGTCCCAGGTTCGATTCCGGTCAAGGGCATGGGCCTTGGTTGCGGGCACATCCCCAGTAGGGGGTGTGCAAGAGGCAGCTGATCGATGATTCTTTCTCATCGATTTTTCTAACTCTCTATCTCTCTCTCTTCCACTCTGTAAAAAAATCAATAAAATATATATTTAAAAAGAGAGAGAGAGAGGGAGAGAGAGAGAGAGAACACTTGGGCCTTTGGAGAGAAATAGTTTGGCACCGGCGCCAAAGTTCTGTTCAGGAGGGCAGCTCCGGAGGCTGGCTCTCTGGCCGGCTCAGGGGCCATGGGGCTCCGTCCCTCTCTCTGAGGCCTGTCTGTGGCCCCAGCTGTCCCAGGAGGAGGCAGGAGAAGCGGGCCCAGCCACCAGGGGAGGGGAGGGAGGCGACCGCCCTGGCCTGGTTCCGGCCCTCCTTCGCACAGAGGCAGGGCTGTCCCCCAGGCCCGTGGTCGGCAAACTGCGGCTCGTGAGCCACAGGCGGCTCTTTGGCCCCTGGAGTGTGGCTCTTCCAACAAAACACCACGGCCTGGGCGAGTCTACGTTGAAGACATGACGTGAGAAGAAGTTTACGTTTGAACAGTGTGGCTCTCCAGAGACATGTCCGTCGTCGGGGTGCTGTTGATGTTGGGCTCTGTGGACGGATGAGTTTGCCGACCTCTGACCTAGGCCGAGGTGCCGCCCTGCCCGTCTCGGAGTTGCCCCGGAAGGACGCAGAGCCTTCTGTGACTTATTCCTTTGTGCAACCGAGACATGGCGGCAAGCACGTTCACCTGCCTCCAGCCCCACCTCCCCCCAAGATACTGGCAGCCTGCAACATTCTGAGGATGCCTGGCCCTGGTCTTTTTTTTAAAAAAAAAAATGATTTAATATATTTTTATTGATTTCAGAGAGGAAGGGGGAGAGAGAGAGAGAGAGAGGGACACCAAAGAGGAGAGAGAATCATGGATCAGCTGCCTCCTGCACACCCCCTACTGGGGATGTGCCCGCAGCCAAGGCACACGCCCTTGACCGGAATCGAACCCGGGACCCTTCAGTCTGCAGGCCGACGCTCTATCCACTGAGCCAAGCCGGCCAGGGTGGCACCCACATTTTGATCAGATGATGAGAGAGAATCATCGATTGACTGCCTCCTGCATGAGCGTGCGCCCCCCTTATCCCACCCCACCCCCAAAATCAGAGGTCAAGCCCACCACCCAGACATGGGCCCTGGCCGGGAATCGAACTGTGATCCCCTGGTTCCTAGGTCGGCGCTCAACCACTGAGCCACACCAGCCGGGCTGGATCTCCTGCATCCTCCTCCCGTTCTCTCTGGGCCTGGGGTTCCGTTAGCCGCCCCCCAAAGACCAGGGGCGAGAACTCCACAGCACGCGGTTAGACTGGCGGAGGCGGCAGGACCGTGCAGCCGTCCGCAGACCTCGGCACACGAGGCCAGCCCTACCTCCGGCGTCGGCGTGGAGCTCCCCGCTGGGCGTCCCGCTCCTTCCAGGGAGGTGGTCATGGCTGGGCGGCGGCTCCCACGCGGACAGGGCAGCGCTGGGGTCCTCCTGCCCAGAAAGAGAACATCGGTCACTGCCGAGACCGGTGTGGCTCAGTGGACAGAGCGTCGGCCTGCGGACTGAAGGGTCCCGGGTTCGATTCCGGTCAGGGGCATGGACCTTGGTTGCAGGCACATCCCCAGTAGGGGGTGTGCAGGAGGCAGCTGGTGGATGTTTCTCGCTCATCGATGTTTCTAGCTCTGTATCCATCTCCCTTCCTCTCTCTAAAAAATCAATAAAGTATATTAAAAAAAAAAAAAAAAAAAAAAAGCCGAAACCAGTTTGGCTCAATGGATAGAGTGTCGGCTTGAGGACTGAAGGGTCCCGGGTTCGATTCCGGTCAAGGGCATGGACCTTGGTTGCGGGCACATCCCCAGTAGGGGGTGTGCAGGAGGCAGCTGATCCATGTTTCTCTCTCATCGATGTTTCTAGCTCTCTGTCCCTCTCCCTTCCTCTCTGTAAAAAGTCAATAAAATATATTTTTTTAAAAAATGAAAAGAAAGTGGGTGCCTGATCCCAGAGGGACGCGGCCGGGGTGCTCCCGTCTCTGTGCCGACGTCAGGCCGGGAGGGTGGCTTGCCAAGCTCACTCACCGCAGACGCTGGAGACGTGGGCCCTTCTAGATTATTCCTTATGCTTCCAGCCCCCTGGACAGCCCTGTGCGAAGTGGGTCTGTCCTGCCTCCACACGGGGGGGGCTGTGCCAGTACTGGCGGAGGGCCTCCCCGCCGGCCAGGGGCTGCGCGGGGCCCGGGCAGGGTGACGGCCAGGACCGGGAGCTCCAGACCTGTGTCCGCCTGCTTCTGCGGCCGGGCGGCTCTGCTGGCTGCCTTCCTCCCCTCCCGTGCGCTCCCCGCGGTGCCCGGGCCCCACCCGGCCCGGCCGGCCCGCTCCCTCTTCTCAAAGGGAGGCCTGGCCAGCCTGGCCGGTGTGGCTCAGTGGATAGAGCACCGGCCGGTGGATGAAAAGGCCCCAGGTTTGATTCCCAGGTCAGGGGCACGTGCCCGGGTTGGGGTCCGAGTGGCAGGGGGACTTTGGGTGGGTGAGAGGGGCGAGTCCGGGGTTCCAGGGACTGAGTTTGGGAACCGGAGGTCGGCAGGGTCGGGTCCGGAAACAGGGCCTTGGATTTGGTGGTGCAGGATGCCGCCGAGGGGGGCCAACCCCAGGGGGTCCTTGCCAGGAAGTCTCGTGTCTGTACCCCTGTTCCCGGCACAGCCCCCGGGGCCCGATGCTGGGATCAGAGGGGCAGCTCTTGACAGGAGCGAACCTGGGGGCTCAGCGTGCCCCCCAGGGCCCTGTGGGGGACAGAGGGCACCTCGGCTGGGTCTCCAATGGGCTTGGGTGGGAGAGGTCAGGGCCAGGGCTCGGGGCCGGGCCGGGGTTTGGGGGCTGATGGCCTCTCTCCCTCGCCCCCCGCAGGCATCATGTGGCTGGAAATCCTCCTGGCCTCCGTGCTGGGCCTCGCCGTCTACTGGTTCGCCTCCCGGGACAAGGAGGAGACCCTGCCGCTCGGAGACGGGTGGTGGGGGCCCGGGGCCAGGCCCACGGCCCCCGAGGATGAGAGCATCCGGCCCTTCAAGGTGGAGACGTCGGACGAGGAGATCAACGTAAGGCCCCTCTTCCCAGCGGGGGCAGGGGCAGGGGCAGGGGCAGGGGGAGGGTTAGGGTTAGGGCTGGGCAGGGGGAGGGTTAGGGCTGGGCAGGGGGAGGGTTAGGGTTAGGGGCTGGGCAGGGTTAGGGTTAGGGCTGGGCAGGGGGAGGGTTAGGGTTAGGGAGGGAGGGTTAGGGTTAGGGGCCGGGCAGGGGGAGGGTTAGGGTTAGGGGCCGGACAGGGGGAGGGTTAGGGTTAGGGAGGGAGGGTTAGGGTTAGGGGCCGGGCAGGGGGAGGGTTAGGGTTAGGGGATGAGCAGGGGGAGGGTTAGGGTTAGGGGCCGGGCAGGGGGAGGGTTAGGGTTAGGGGCCGGGCAGGGGGAGGGTTAGGGTTAGGGGATGAGCAGGGGGAGGCAGGAAGCCCCTGTTTCCCTGAGCCTCGGGGGGAGGGGCTGGACGGGCGGGAGGAAAGCGTTTGGGTGGAAGAGGGGTGCCCGCTGGACCCAGTTTCGCGTCTCACCTCCTCTGGCCGGCCCGGAAGCCGGGAGGCGCTTACAGGAGAAAGCCAGGGGGGTGTCGTCAGGCCCCCGTGACACCAGGCGCTGGTGGACAAAGCACCTACTGTGCGCCAGCCCCTCCGGGCCCCGCACAGCCCCCGCCGCACTCCTGTGGGGGGAGGCCCGTGTTCTCAGCGCAGAACTGCCGCCACGGGAGCCCGGAGAGGGAACGCAGTCCAGCCCAGGTGACGGGGATCAGGCGCGGGATTGGGCCTGAGGCCTGCCCAGCTGGGAGCCTCGTCCCCCCCCCCCCCCCCCGCCGCCCTCCACGCGGGCTGGGCCCGAGGCAGGGAGGAGTGACCAGCGGGGTGGACGGGTCCGAGAGGCCGGCCCCCAGCGGCCCCCCGCCCATGTGGGCTCTCCTCCTCCTGTGGGGCTGGGAGCACCTACTGTGTGCAGGCGAGGCCCTGGGCTTTGCTGTTTCTGTCTGTCGCCTCCTACAATCCCGTGGCAGGTGTCGTTGCCCCCAGTGTCATGGATCAGTGCCCCTGGTGGGCATACCAGGCTCGCGAGCCACATGTGGTGGCTCTTCCACAAAAGGCCACGGCCTGGGCGCGTCTGTGGTGAAGAAGTGGCGTTAGAAGAAGTTTCAGTTAAAAAAAAAATGTGGCTCTCCAAAGACATGTCCGTCGCTGTGCTGTTCCTATTGGGCTCTGTGGACGGATGAGTTTCCTAAAGCTCATGTTCTTTACTTATTTTAAAAAAATACATATATATATATTTTTTTTTTAATATATTTTATTGATTTTGTACAGAGAGGAAGGGAGAGGGATAGAAAGCCAGAAACATCGATGAGAGAGAGTCATCGATCAGCTGCCTCTTGCACACCCCCTACTGGGGATGTGCCCGCAACCAAGGTACATGCCCTTGACCGGAATCGAACCCGGGACCCTTCAGTCCCCAAGCCGACGCTCTATCCATTGAGCCAAACTGGTCTCGGCTTCTTTTTTTTTTTTTTTTTTTTTTTTTTTCTTATTGACTTCAGAGAGAAAGGGAGAGGGAGAGAGAGAGAGAATCACGGATCGGCTGCCTCCTGCCTGCCTCCCCCTGAACCAGAGCGAATCCAAACCAGTGGCCTCCGGTGGCCCCCTGTGGCTGTGCCCCTGGGGGAGCGCAGGGTTTGCTCCGTCTCCGGAAACGCCCCTCCTCGGTGCACCGCCCGCCCACCCCTCTCCCCTCGGGGCCCTGCGCCTGCTCCAGGACCTGCACCGAAGGATCGAGAAGGCCCGCCTGACCCCGCCCCTGGAGGACAGCCGCTTCCACTACGGCTTCAACGCCCACTACCTGCAGAAGGTCCTCGCCTACTGGCGGGACGGGTTCGACTGGAAGAAGCAGGTGGCCGTGCTCAACCGGTACCCGCACTTCAAGACGAGGATCGAAGGTGCGCGTCCAGCCCGCCCGTGGCCAGCGGGGGGCGCCGTCACCGGCGTGGCCTTCGCCGGCGTCCGGCGTGGCTCGGACGAGGCTGGGGAGACCCAGGCCCCAGGATTGGTCGTGGAGACGTTATTTCAAAGTTATCACAAGCCCTGGCCGGGTTATCCCAGTGGCTAGAGCGTCGGCCTGTGGACTGAAGGGTCCCGGGTTCGATTCTGGCCGACGGCACATGCCTGGGTTTGCGGGCTCGATCCCCAGGGTGGGGCGTGCAGGAGGCAGCCGATCCGTGAGTCTCTCTCATCATCGACATATATTTTTTTTAAATATATTTTATTGATTGTTTTTACAGAGAGAAAGGGATAGAGAGCTAGAAACATCGATGAGAGAGAAACATCGACCAGTTGCCTCCTGCACAACCCCTCCCCCCCCTCCACTGGGGATGTGCCCGCAACCAAGGTGCATGCCCTTGACCGGAATCGAACCCAGGACCTTTCAGTCCGCAGGCCGACGCTCTATCCACTGAGCCAAACCGGTTTTGGCCTCTAAGCATTTTCTAAAAAATATGTATTTTTGTTGGTTTCAGAAAGGAAGGCAGGGAGAGAGAGAGAGAGAGAGAGAGAGAGAGAAACATCAATGATGAGAATCGTTGATTGGCTGCCTCTTGCACACCCCCTACTTGCGGGGGTGGGGTGGGGGAGCAGGGGTGGGGGGGCGGAGGAGCTTGGCTGAAGAAACCAAGTCCTCCTTGTCTCAGGACCCCTTGCTTTTTGTTAACACAATTTGTGCGCGCTCGGCCAGAGCTGGTGGTCCCTGCCATGACCCCTATGATCTGCACCCCGGGGTGGGGTGGGGAGCCGAGGTGGCAGCACCCGCTGGCTGAGCTCCCCGTCTGCAGGGCCTGGCCCCCTCGCCCCCACCCAGCCCCTCCCCCGTGACCGTGGTCCGCCCCCTCCCCCCCCCAGGGCTGGACATCCACTTCATCCACGTGAAGCCCCCGCGGCTGCCGGCCGGCCGCTCCGCCAAGCCCCTGCTGATGGTGCACGGCTGGCCCGGCTGCTTCTTCGAGTTCTACAACGTCATCCCGCTCCTGACGGACCCCAAGGCCCACGGCCTGGGCGGCGAGCACGTGTTCGAGGTCGTCTGCCCCTCCATCCCCGGCTACGGCTTCTCCGAGGCCGCCTCCAAGAAGGGTGGGCCTGGGCTGCTGGGGCCGTGGGCCGCCTCCCCTCCCCTCCCCCCCTCTGCTCCCCTCCCCCCCTCTGCTCCCTCCCCCCCTCTGCTCCCCTCCCTCCCCTCCTCTCCCTCCCCCCTCTCCTCCCCTCCCCTCCCCCTCCTCCCTCCCCTCCGCTCCCGTCCCCTCCCCTCCCCCCTCTCCTCCCCTCCCCTCCCAATCTCTCCCCTCCCCTCCCCTCCCCTCCTAATCTCTCCCCTCCCCTCCCCTCCCCATCTCTCCCCTCCCCTCCGCTCCCCTCCTCTCCCCCCTCCCCTCCCCTCCCCCTCCCCTCCCCCTTCTCTCCCCCACCCCTCCCCTCCTAATCTCTCCCCTCCCCTCCCCTCCCAACCTCTCCCCTCCCCTCCCCTCCCCTCCCCTCCGTGGGGCCGGGCGTGCCCACCAGCGATCCTGGGAGGAGCGGGCAGGGGCCTCCGGGAAGCTTCCTCCTGAGCCAGGGGAGGGGGCGGGCGCGGAGGGGGCGGGCACTGCCATTGGGCGAGGGGGGCCCAGGCCTCCTCTCAGGGTCTGAGGCGTCTGGCAGGCCTGACCGACGTGGCTCGGCGGCTGAGCGCTGACCATGAACCAGGACCGGGGGCGGCAAACCGGGGCTGGCGAGCCACACACGGCCCTTTGGCCCCTTGAGTCTCACTGATTTTTTACAGAGAGGAAGGGAGAGGGAGGGAGAGTCAGATACATGACGAGAGAGAAACATCGACCAGCTGCCTCTTGTACACCTCCCACCGGGGATGTGCCCGCATCCAAGGTCCATGCCCTTGGCCGGCATCGAACCCGGGGCCCCTCAGTCCGCAGGCCGACGCTCTCTCCACTGAGCCACCCCGGTTTCGGCTGGCCCATTGAGTCTTCGGCAAAGGCCCGCTGAGGAGTCCCCTCACTAAGCTAATCACAACGCACCTACCTATCGGATAGTTTGCATTTAAAAAAAACGTAGCTCTCCGAAGAAATTTTGATGGTCGTCCTGTAGATACATTTGGCTCTGCGGACGCATGCGTTTGCCGACCCCTGAGCCAGGAGGTCAGGGTTCGATTCCCGGTCAGGGCACAGGCCCGGGTTACGGGCTCCATCCCCAGTGCTGTTTGGGCCCCAGGATTCCTTTTTCTTTTCTTTTTTTTTAAATATATTTTATTGATTTTTTTACAGAGAGGGATAGAGAGTTAGAAACATCGATGAGGGAGAATCATCGACCAGCTGCCTCCTGCACACCCCCCACTGGGGATGTGCCCGCAACCAATGCGGATGCCCTTGACCGGAATCGAACCCGGGGCCCCTCAGTCCACAGGCCGACGCTCTCTCCACTGAGCCGCACCGGTTTCTGCAGGGCCCCCGGATTCCTGCCCTCCTCCTGAGCTGCGCTTGGCTAGCCCCGGGGCCTGGGGTGAGGCATGTCCCAGGCCCCAGGGGTGACGGCTCCATGACGCTGTCACCCCCACCCCCACCCCCTGCCCCGTTTCCCACGACCAGGCCTGAACTCCGTGGCCACCGCCCGGATCTTCTACAAACTGATGCTGCGGCTGGGCTTCCGGGAATTTTACGCCCAAGGCGGGGACTGGGGGTCCCTGATCTGCACCAACATTGCCCAGCTGGCGCCCAGGTGAGGGGCCTGGGGGTGGCCGGGGAGGGGGGGTGAGCATGTGTGTGTGGGCACAGCACCCACCGGCCGGCCAGCCGTGCAGCTGGTGGGGTGGCTCTCACCGCCCCCCTCCCAGCCCCGGACACCGTGTGGAGCCTCGGGGGTGCTGGGTGCTGAGTCCGGGGGAGGGGGGAGGGCTCCCTGGCGTCCAGCTGCACCCGGGCATGAGGACCCCGTCCGATCAGGGTTGGTGACCCTGGGCCAGGTGCCCAGGCAGAGAGGCCCATGTGGACGAGGCCAAGGTCAGGGACTAGACCACATGTGTCAAACACAAGGCCCGCGGGCCAAATCCGTCCCGCCAGGCCTTGCAATGTGGCCCGCACCGCGCTGTCATCACTGCACTCCGCTGCGTTTCCATCACAATGACAGTTTATGACTGTTCAGTAAGCCATTCGGCCCGCGATTTAGGCTGGATTTTAGATTTTGGCCCCTTCTCTGACTGAGTTCGACACCCCTAGACTAGACCGTCCTGATGGGCCCAATCCCAGAAGCAGAACTTTCTAGAGACTATTTTCTCGCCAACCTGACCACCCCACCAGCGGGCGGGTGCCGGCGGGGGCTGGCCCTGGGGGCCTCGCCCTCCTCTGCCTCTCCCCTCCCCGCCGCCCCATGCCCGCCGATGCCCGCCGAGCCTCACGGCCCCTCCCCGCCCCGCCCCGCCCCGCCCCGCCCGCAGCCACGTGAAGGGCCTGCACCTGAACATGGCCTTCGTGCTGCGGGGCTTCCACGTCCTCACCCTGCTCCTGGGGCCGCGCTTCCGGAGGCTCTTCGGCTACACCGAGCGGGACGTGGAGCTCATGTACCCGCTGAGGGAGAAGATGTTCCACAGCCTCCTGCGGGAGAGCGGCTACATGCACATCCAGTGCACCAAGCCGGACACCGTGGGTGCGTGCCCGGGGGGGGCTGGGGGGCACGTCTGTTCCCACCGCCGGCTCCGCCCGGCCTGAGTCCCCGAGCCCGCCCCTCCTCCCCCTGCAGGCTGCGCCCTCAATGACTCCCCCGTGGGGCTGGCCGCCTACATCCTAGAGAAGTTCTCCACCTGGACCAACTCCGACTTCCGGGACCTGGAGGACGGTGGCCTGGAGAGGTGAGAGGGCCCCTGCCCCCACCCCCACCCCCGCCCGGGTCCCAGCACCCCTTCCCCACCCAGCACCTCCTCTCCTCTCCATCCGCACTGCGTGGGGCCCCTCACAGGCCGGAGGCAGCAGCTTCGCGGGGCCCTGGTGAGGGTGGGACCCGCTGGGGTGGCAGCTGGAATTGGAGAGCAGGGGTTCCCGAGCGGACTCGGGGTGCAGGGGGGCGGGAGGCCACGGGGAGGACACGGGAGGGGTGCGTGTCACGGAGGCTGGAGGGAGCGGGGTACAGTGAGTGGTTATTCTGGGGTGAAGGGTGGAAGCTGGTGGGGTGGGGAGAAGAGTGGGGGGAAGTGGGGGGCCCCCCAGAAGGCACAGTCGGGGGCACCAGGGGACAGGGGAGGCCATGGAGGGCCCGGGGGGAGGGGGGCCTGGACGCAGGGTGGGGTGCAGCTGAGAGGGTTGGCGCTGAGGGTGCCTCTGCCTCCCCAGGAAGTTCTCCCTGGACAGCCTGCTGACCGTCATCATGATCTACTGGACCACGGGCACCATCACCTCCTCCCAGCGCTTCTACAAGGAGAACATGGGGCGCAGCTTCCTGAGCGAGCCACACGAGCGGTGAGACCTCCGGATCGGCCGTACCCCCTTCCCCAGTCTCATCAGGGGGCCCCGGGGGCAACAAAGGGGGGGGCGACCGGGGGGGGAGTGAGGCCGCCCCACGCACGCTCCGGCCCGGGCAGCCCTTCCAGAAAAGCGGGTTCCTGGTGGACGGGGGGTGGGGGCGGCTCAGGACGCCCCCGAGAGCCCCCCGCCGCGGGGACAGGCCGCGGCCGAGCCCGCCCTCACGGGGCCCCCGTCGCCCCCCAGGATGAAGGTCCAGGTGCCCACCGGCTTCGCCGCCTTCCCGAGCGAGCTACTGCATGTCCCCGAGAGGTGGGTCAAGTCCAAGTACCCGAAGCTCGTCTCCTACTCCTACATGCCCCGCGGGGGCCACTTCGCCGCCTTCGAGGAGCCCGAGCTGCTGGCCCGCGACCTCGGCAAGTTCGTGGGGCGGGTGGAGGGCCCCTGAGCTGGGGGCGCCTGCCCTGCTCCGGCGAGGCCCCCCACCCCCCACCCCCGACCCACCCAGGGCCGCCCAGCGCCAGCCCCCCTCCGGGCGGCGGCCTCGGCCCGGACCCCACGCACACGCCTCCCCCACGGGCACCGCCGCCCCGCACACGCCTGCACACGCCTGCACACGGCTTTGAGAATAAAGGATTTTACTTGCACGTGCCCCCATCTCCCTGGGGGTGTCCCCTTTCGGGCAGAGCTGGCAGGGCTGCAGCCTGGGCCGGGGGTGGGGGTGGGGGAATGTCACCCCCCCTGGCCGATGGGGGGGGCACAGGACGCCCTGGGGGGCACCAGGACTCCGCCCCGTCCCCTCTGCGCCCAGGCAGCTCAGAGCAGGGGCCGAGGGCCGAGGGCCGGTCGGAGTGGGGGGTGGGGGGCAGGGTGCCCCAGATCCCACCTGGCCACCTGGCCAGGCGCCCACCCCCTCTGGGGATGGAGACAGCCCCCCTGGCTCTGCCCACCGCGACCTGTGCCCACCTGTGACTCCGGCGCCCCCTGGAGGCAGTAGGAAGGCGGTGTCTCCAGCAAGAGCCCCAAATGCTTGCTCAGCCCTGGGCTCCCTGGAGGTGGAGGCTGCCTCGGCCTGGGCCCTGCACCCAGCCCAGCTCCCCCTCCCCTGCCTCAGGGGCTCCCGGGAGGCCCCGAGCACGCCGCCCCCCAGCCCCCCAGGAGGAGGGAGCAGACGGGAGGCGGCGAGGACAGAGGCCGAGGCCGAGCCCAGGCACCGGCCCGTCGGGCCGAACAGGCACTTTATTAGGGTTCACCCCGTCCCCGGCTGCCCCCGGGGACCCCGGCCCGGCCCATGGTACAGACACGGAGAGCCAGAGCGGGGCGCGGAGGCTCACGCCAGGGGCAGGGCCGGTGCCGGGCGGACGGCAGGGAGGGGCGTCCGGAATGACCCCCCCCCAGGCTCTCTGGGTGTCCGGGGGGCGTGTGTGTGCCCACAGGGGCGGTGGTGCGTGCTCAGGGGGAGGATTTCCGAGGTCTGCTGCTGCCTGTCGCCCCCCGCGGGGCCCTGCAGGGACGCCCTGCCCGCACGCCATCTCACTACGAGGGGACAGGACCCAGCGCCAGCGCCGTGAGCACGACCCCGGGCCCACCAGCAAGGACCGGGGTGGCGCCCGGTCCTGCCCCAAGCCCGCCTGGTGTCCTGTCTCCGGAGCAGAGAGGGGGGACGAACTTCCAGACGTGGACGGCCGTCCTGGCCGCGGCTGGGGTCCGAGTCCCGCCCCGTCCGTCAGACCTCCTGCTGGGCGGCGGCCACGCTGTCGGCCGGGCTCCGGGCCGGGCCCTGGGCCCCCGGGACCGTCCCGCTGATGTTGCGGACGGCGCCGTAGGTCTGCTGCAGCTGCGGGGACAGGGCCGTGCGCTCGGAGGCCATGCCGTTCAGGATGCGGGGCACGTAGGGCTGCCGGCAGACGGGGAGGGCGTGAGGGCTCGGCGGAGGGGGGACGTGGCACCCCATTCCTCCTCCACCGGCCCCTCTCCTCCCAGGGACACATAAAGAAACACCACCGAGCCCTGGCCGGTGTGGCTCCGTGGACAGAGCACCGGCCTGAGGACTGAAGGGTCCCGGGTTCGATTCCGGTCAAGGGCACAGGCCCGGGTTGCGGGCTGGATCGCCAGTGGGGAGTGTGCGGGAGGCAGCCGATCCATGATTCTCTATCGGCGTCGATGTTCCTCTCTCTCTCCCTCACCCTCTCCCTTCCTCTTGGAAATCAATAAAAAATAAAATAAATAGCCCTAAATAAAATTAAATTAAATTAAATTAAATTAAATTAAAAATAAAATTAAATAAATAAATAAATAAATAGCCCTAATCAATTCGGCTCGTTGGCCTACAGATTAAAAGGTCCCAGGTTCGACCGGTTTGGCTCAATGGATAGAGCGTCGGCTTGGGACTGAAGGGTCCCAGGTTCGATTCCGGTCAAGGGCATGTACCTTGGTTGCGGGCATATCCCCAGTAGGGGGTGTGCAAGAGGCAGCTGATCGATGACTCTCTCTCATCGATGTTTCTGACTCTCTATCTCTCTCCCTTTCTCTCTGTATAAAAATCAATAAAATATATTTAAAATAAATAAATAAATAAATAAAATAAAATAAAATAAAAGGTCCCAGGTTCGATTCCAGTCAAGGGCATGTACCTTGGTTGCAGGCACATCCCCAGTGGGGGGTGTGCAGAGGCAGCTGGTTGATGTTTCTCTCATCGATGTTTCTAACTCCCTATCCCATTCCCTTACTCTCTGTGAAAAATCAATAAAATATATTTTTTAAAAAGAAAAAAGAACGAGGGCCGTCCATCATCCATCTGGCCCGCCTCCTCCCAGGCATGTCTCCCCAGAACCTTCCCTGGGGCGAGTCCAAAGACAGACACTGCTAAGAGGCCTGACAGCTGGGAGGCAGCTGCTAGAAAACAGAGAGAGAGGAGAGGGGCAGCTGATCATCAATGTTTCTAACCCCCACCCATCCCCGCCCTGTCAGGGGGCAGTGGACCCAGAAGGAAAGGAGACTGTGCGGCCGGTGCCCGCACACAGCGGGCGCCACGTCAATGCGGAGCTCCGGGGGAGCCGGTCTGGGCGGCGGGGGGACCCACGCAGCAGGCGCTGCTGGGACGCCGGTGACCGGCTTCCCCAAACCACAGGGCCTGGCGGCCAAGCCGGCTCTCCGGCATGAAATATGCAGAGGAAAGTGAGCCGGAAGCCGACACCCGCGGGGTGGGGCGCGCGTCCTGGCAAACAAACCCTCCTCCTGTGGGGGATGCGGCCTCACAGCCAAGTTACAGCCCCACAGGCCCCCGGATGCCTTCCCAAGTGACAGGAACTCACGTGACCGAGGGGCTTCTCCCTCTCTCTCTCTCTCTCTCTCTGTCTCTTTTAAATGTTTTATTGATTTTTTTATGGAGAGGAAGAGAGAGAGATAGAGAGTCAGAAACATCGATGAGAGAGAAGCATCGACCAGCTGCCTCCTGCACACCCCCTACTGGGGATGTGCTCACAACCAAGGTACATGCCCTTGACCGGAATCGAACCCGGGACCTTTCAGTCCGCAGGCCGACGCTCTGTCCACTGAGCCACACCGGTGTCGGCAGGGGGCTTCTTTCTCCACGAGATGATGGGAGGGTGCCTGCCGGGCCCACGGGGCTGGGTCCCCGGCCGGGGCTGGGTCCTGGGGGGGGGGGGGAACCCCAGGACTTACCGTGTAGGGAGGGGGTACGTGGGCCAGGGCCTCGCTTCCCTTGTCCTCGGCCGGCTCCTCGGTCTGCAGGAAACACAGAAACTCCCATGATGAGCAACCATGAGTGTCCAGAACAGCACCCTCCAAACAGGCGGACTATGACACCCAGAGAGACAGTGCCAGCTGGCACCCGGCTCCCAGCAACAGCCCCAGGGGGCATGGGGAGGGCGTGGGGAACAGGGATGGTGTGGAGTGAGAAATCTCATATTGCACCCAGCTACCCACGTCTTTGGGGGGGATCGGGGAAGGCGGGGGATCAGTAAAACCTAGAGAAGCGCCGAAACCGGTTTGGCTCAATGGATAGAGCGTCGGCCTGCGGACTAAGGGGTCCCAGGTTGGATTCCGGTCAAGGGCATGGACCTTGGTGGCGGGCACATCCCCAGTATGGGGTGTGCAGGAGGCAGCTGATGGATGTTTCTCTCTCATCGATGTTTCTAACTCTCTATCCCTCTCCCTTCCTCTCTGTGAAAAATCAATAAAATAAAAATAAAATAAAATAAAAAACCTGGAGAAGGTCGTTGACGTGTGAGTGGGAGGAGGAGGGGTGCAGGGCGGACCCACACCTCCTGGGCGCCCAGGCCCCGGCTGGGGGGGGGGGGTGCTGGGGGCGGCCCCTTTACCTTGTAGTTCAGAGGGCTGAGATGCTTGAAGCAGCCGAAGCAGGTGTAGCCCAGGCAGACCAGGATGGTGAGCAGCAGGACCAGGAAGTTAAACAGGGTGGCGGGGGCTGTCCAACCTGGGGACGGAGGGACCCGGCCTCAGAGATGGGGGGGGGGGGGCTGCCTCACCTCCCTGGGCAGGTGACTTACAGAGAAGGCACCGCCCCCTCCCCGCCCTCGAGCAGCTGGGACCCCGGTGAGGGCATCGGCCAGCTGCCCGCTGGGTCGGGTCCCTGCAGCCTCTGGTCAGGGTGAGGCGGGTGGAGGCCCTGCAGAGCCGGGCAGTCACATCTCTCCTGCCTTTTCCGTTTCCCCAAGAGCATTGGGTTTCCCTCCGGCAGGTCCCCCCCAGGTGAGGCGTGAGGGGTCGGGACCCGCCTCCCCATCTCCTCTGGCTCAGCCCCCCACACGGCAGATGGAGGACCATCCTCTCTCTCAGCTGCCTGGGGCCGTCCACCTGCCCTCCGCCTGTTACTCTCCGGCGTGGGCCAGCCAGCCCTCACCCCGGGGGCCACATTCTGATTGGACACCCAGCCAGCCCTCACCTCGGGGGCCACATTCCGATTGGACACCCAGCCAGCCCTCACCCCGGGGGCCACATTCTGATTGGACACCCAGCTATCCCTCTCCGAGGACCACATTCTGATTGGATAACCACTTGGCCCTCACCCTGGATGCCACATTCTGATTGGATAGCCAGCCAGCCCTCCCTGGGGGCCATATTCTGATTGGACACCCAGCCAACCTTCACCCTGGATGCCACATTCTGATTGGACACCCAACCAGCCCTACCCTAGTGGCCACATTCTGATTGGACACCCAGCCAGCCCTCCCTGAGGACCACATTCTGATTGGATAACCACTTAGCCCTCACCCTGGGTGCCACATTCTGATTGGATAACCAGCCAGCCCTCCCTGGGGGCCACATTCTGATTGGACACCCAGCTATCCCTCTCTGGGGGCCACATTCTGATTGGATTACCAGCCAGCCCTCACCCTGGATGCCATGTTCTGATTGGACGCCCAGCCAGCCCTCCCTGGGGGCCCTCACCCAGGCGCAGGAAGGAGAAGAAGAAGAGCCAGAAGAGGCACAGGATCGGGGCGGCCAGGGCCTGGTTCACGGCCGCGAAGTGGATCCTCTTCTCCAGCTTGGCAGGGAGGTAGGCGAAGTACAGGTTGTGCCGGTCCACCATGTGCTTGAGCAGGATGTAGATGAGGCCTGCGGGACACACACACACACACACACACACACACACCACACGTGAGCGGGACCCGGCGTGGCCACGGGCGTGGCTGTCCACGGAACTGGGCTGGGGTGGCCGTCTGACCCCGTGAACCAGGAGGGCGGCCGAATGCATATCCTGGCTCCAGCGTTCCTGGTCTCTCTCCTCCCTCCTCTCCTCCCTCCTCTTCTCTCCCCCCCCTCTCTCCCCCCCTCTCTCCCCTCCTCCCTCCCTCCTCTCCTCCCCATTCCTGACTCCAGGAGTAGGAGTGTCTGTGACTTGGGGCCCAAGTGACCTCCTGCCTTCCGCCAATGGATGCTCAAGGATCTTAAGGGGCATCACACTGTCTTATGTCAGGTTCTTCAATATTTTTTGCTTTTTCTTTCATATATATTTATATATATAATATTTTATTGATTTTTTTACAGAGAGGAAGGAAGAGGGATAGAGA